AGGCCCGAAACGTCAGCCTTCCTGCTCCTCTGATGCTGCTTGGCCTGCTGTGTTCATCCAGCTCCACACCTTGTTTTCACAAAATGAACAATTTTGTTTGTATTTTCTAAGTGCCAGTTTTTATTTTTCAGTGTATTTTCCTTTGATTTCTGGTTGATGAGCAGTCTCTTAAACAGGCTGCAGGCCAAACAAATGAAGTCTTATTCCTAAACTGTACTCCACCCCCTAAAATGGTGTGTCGGAGCAAGAGAGGCAATAAAAAAAACACAAACTGATAGAAGCTAAACAAATACATAGAATTACTGAAATGTTATCAGGGATGTTGGCCCAGAAAATTATGCAGTGAGACTAGAGAAACTGGACCTGTTTCGGTTAGAGAAAGGTGATAACAAACTTTAAACAGCATTGCTCATTGGTGTTGGAAGAATGAACAATGACCTTACTGAAGTTTCTGTGGGTAGTAACCTGCACAGATGCTGGGAGGATGTCTCCCCATGAGGGAATCTGGAACCACAAGGCAGAGTTTAAAAATGACATGTCTCCAATTTAAGATGGAGAACAAGAGCAATTTGTTCTTTCAGAACATCATGTGTCTTTGGAATTCTCTTTTACACTGCCAAGAGAGTCAGGGGTTGTGGGCCCAGGCAGAAAAGTAGAGTTAAGGCTGCTGTCAGGTCATTTTATTGACTGACACAGCAGGTTCAATGGACCGGATGAACTACTCATGCTCTTATAGAGGTTTATAAAATCACGAGGAGCATAGATAAGGTGAATCTGGGTCTTTGCCTCGGGTGGAGGAGTTCAAAACTAGGGGACATATTTTTAAGGTGAGAAGAGAAAGTTTTAAAAAGGACACAAGGGGCAATTCACCACCCCCCCCAACAGAGAATGGTTCGTGTGTGAAATGAACTACTGAGGAAGTGGTGGATGCAGGTACAGTTATAACATTTAAAAGACATTTGGGTAAGTACATGAATAGGAAAGGTTCAGAGGGATATGGGCCAAATGCAGGCAAGTGGAACTAATTTAGTTTGGGAACATGGCCAGCATGAACTAGTTGGACTGAAGAATCTGTTTCCATGCTGTATGATTCTATTGTTTCTAAAGATCTTACGTGTCACCAAACAACACAGATTTAAACAAGTGTCAAAAGAATTCGGAGGTGATGCCTGGCAGTAAGTTTTTTTTTATATAACAGTGAGCTGTTGTGATATGAAATGCAGTACTTAAGAAGAGCAATGAAAGTAGCTCAAGAGCATTGGACATTAAAAAATGTGCAAAGGCATAAGGGGAGACAGACTAATTGAATAATTCTTCTAAGATACTAGCACAGGCACCATGGCCAACTGTGTGAAATTACTTCATTAAAATACAAAAGGTTACAATTGAATACAATAGAGAAACAGCAAAATTCATTTCAAGTGAAATGCAAAACAGGAGAGAACAAAGAAAAGGACCATCAGGAATAGTATGTGCAGAGTGCTTACGCTTTATTATACATTTTTGTAGAATAGGATTATAATTCACAACAAAGCCTATTTAATTTTGTTTATTGTAATATTATTGTTTTGTTTCAGTATCTGGTTGACACATGAAATAATTATTATCCTTCAATTGGTTTACTCACAGTTGGGTCTTTCTCTATGACCACCACTCGGACCCCTTCCCGAATTGCCTCTTTTTTCTTCAACCAGTAAGCAGTGGACCAGCCAATTACCCCTCCTCCCACGATGACAATGTCAGCCCACTCAGGTGGCAGTCCAGGAGTCTGGGGATGCAATGGACTCCAGTCACTGCCAGGGAGTACTTCCTTTGCTTTCTGTCTAAATTTGACAAACTCCTTTTCTAGATCTGGAACAAAGACAGAAGAGTATTTCAACGATAGGTAATAACTATCACAAGCAAATATACTGCATCAAGCAACCGTCAAATCATCTTCAAATCATGATCCAACATCCATGCATATCTCAGCAACAAGTGATAGGAACCCCCAAATATCTTACCCTCCTCAAGCTAAACAGGCCTAATGGCAAATGCAGTACCACTATTATTTCCATGACAAAAGGAAGCTAACTCAGTATTAATCAGGGGTAAAAATCCTAAATGGATCTAGTTTGTGCGGTTTAGTATTACACTGAGCAATACAATTAACAACTGAACTGTCAGGTTATTTTTCAGAATCAGTAAAATTTCTAAGTCTGAACATGGTTGCTTACTTCAAAGGTTAGTGCTAATTAGCTTGGAGAACTATCAGTATTTGTTTTGATGTAGAAGGATTTAATGTCATGCCTCATTTACAGCAGAGGAGGAAGTAATTCAGCCCATTAAATTCATGCTGGCTCTCAGTCAAACAATCCAGCCAGTCCCACTTCCCCGTTCGATTCCTGAAGCCCTCCGTGTTTATTTTCTCCAAATGTCCATTCAATTTCTTTTGATACTTATCAAACATTCAACGTCAACTTGCATTTCATATTGTACTTTCAAATTAATAAATCATCTCAGAAGGCTTGACAAGGGTATTACGAAACATTTGCCAATAAGCCACAAAGGAAATATCAGAATAAACAAGCTCAAAGAGTATCTTTTAAGTATCTCAAAGGTAGAGACATTTAGAGAGGGAATTTCAAAGTAAAAGGTCCTCAGGAGCTGAACATGCAACCACAAATGAAGATTAAAAATGTTCAGGTAATCAGAAATTTGGGACAATTGGAAAACCGAACAAAGTTACAGAAGCTGGAGAGAGTTCAGAAGAGATTTACCAGGATGTTGCTGGGTATTGAAGGTTTGAGTTATGAAGAAATTTTATTCACTGGAGTGTAGGAGGTTGAGAGGCAACCTCATAGAAGTTTATAAAATAATGAAGGGTATAAATAGAGCTAATGGCAGTAGTCTTTTCCCTCGGATGGGAGATTTCAACACGAGGGGGCACAGTTTTAAGGTGATAGGAGATGTTTAAGACAGACATGAGTGTCAATTTTTTTCCCCCACACAGAGGGTGGTTCGCATGTGGAATGAACTTCCTGAGGAAGTGGTGGATATAGGTACAATTACAACTTTTAAAAGACATATAGGTAAGTACATGAATAGGAAAGGTTTGGAGGGATATGGGCTAGGAGCAGGCAGATGGGACTAGTTTAGTTTGGGATTATGTTTGGCATGGACTGGTTAGACCCTCCGTGCTGTATGACTTTACGACTCTAAATAGGTAGGGGGGAGGCCACGGAGTGTGGAAAAATTTGAAAGCTGGAATGATGAAAAGTATTCAGTCAGAATTGTTGCAAAATATGTATTAACTGGCACATACTTGGAGCAGATTCGGCCAGCTAACAGAACTTTCTGGGTGACCCTTATTCATTATTTGATTTTCAATTGTGGCACTTCAAAGTGATGCTTCCCCCCAAGTGGAAGGTGCTCTTTTATACTGCCCTAAACTAATGGGCAGGGGTGAGCCCATTTAAACTGAAAGTGATTCCCAGCTGAGAAGTCACGGGATGTTTCACCAATGTAATGATTCTAACTTTCTAATTTGGGAAGGCTTCTTTGCCTTTTTAGTTTTTTTAAAAAAAGAAAAGAAAAAAAAATGCAATAAACACGACTTTATTACTAGTCAAATAGTGGATAAAAGCAAACAGTTAAACTAGAGATTCTTAAAATAAAAATGATTAGGCCTCAGAGGGGATTTGTTGAAATGAAACCAGGGATGAGGGGTTTCAGTTTTAGGGTGGGACTGGAAAAGCTGAGACACGTTTAGGAGGAGATCTGATGGAAATGTTCAAAATCTGAGTGATTTCAATAATGAATACGAGATCTAACTATCCAATGGTTTAAGGGTAAATAAACAGAGGACATAGATTTGAAGTGACTGGCAAAAGAACCAGACATGACGTGAGGGAAAAGAAAGCATGTAGTGAGCAGTTATGGTCAGGTGTGCACTGCCTGAAAGTTTTGCAGAAGCAAATTTGAAATGAGAATCAGCAACATACCTATTCATGCTGTGGGTGCTTTTTTGGATCAAATATTGATTCAAAGACATGCTACTGTGAGGTAGATATAAACGATCGCATGGTCTTATTTGACTACCAAAGGAGCTTTCCTGGTATCCTGGCCACCTTTATTCTTTGACAAATAGTTTGTTTAATCACATTTAGTATTGTTGTTTACTGAGCCATGCTGTACCGTATGTGAATTTGTCCTTGATCTGAAATGTGATGACTTATGGTGATAGGAACATAGGAAATAGGAGGAGTAGACCATACAGCTGCTTAATGTTATGGCATTCAACATAATCATGACTGAATTTCTGCCCCAGCCTCACTTTTCTACACAATTCCCAAATCACTGCCAGCTGAGGTCGTCAAAAAGGATGTGAACATGACACATCTTTAAGGAAAAAAGACAAGTTGCTCAAGAAAAGAAACAGGATGGCAAACCACCCAAATTAAAGGTGCTGTAAGATTGGTGAATTTAAAGGCCATCTGAAGAATCACACTTGAAAAATTCAAGTCTTAGCCTCGTGTATCCAAGATTTACTCTTCTGCTTTGAGTGATATTCCCTTTTGATACTTTATTGATTCTGTATTGCTCTGTATCTTCATGGGTGAACTCTACTGGTTTTAAATGACTCCGTTGTATTTCCTTGACAAAATTATTTCTCTCTCCCAATCTCTTTATATATAATACTTATTGTGCATGGCTTGCAACAACATATTCTGAATAAACTGTTTTGAGAGGCAAGACAAAATTTGCTCTGAAACAGTATACAGTACGTATACTACTCAAGTCTAACTTCAACTGGGTCTGCAGTAATATGGAACAATATTGAATTCTAGGGAACGTTGCAGTCATCTTTGTGTACGCTTTGCTTTATAGCTATTTCTTTATAAGTTCCTGGCACCAGTCTGGCTTGCAGACAATGTAAACCTAGAAGAAGTGTTAAAAATTGAGAGTTCAAGACAGTAAACAGTAAAAGATTGTATCTTCTTATTGTAAATCATTGACTTGTGTAAAGCCCAAGATCCCATCTGCTTGCTAAATTCTTTCTCAATACTAACTGCCACATACAAAGATCAATGGGCACACTACATCTCCGTCCCTTTGTCAATCCCGATTCCACAGACCACTGTACAAATATCCATCCATTCCTTAAGGTAGCAGGACAGTAAAATAAAATGACTAAGGAAGCATATAGGATACTTGCCTTTACTGGCTAAGGTATAGAGTTTAAGATCAAAGTAGCTGCGCTGGAACTGTATAAAATATTGGTTAGACCCCAGCTAGAGAGTGTTGTCTTTAGTTCGGGAATCCACATTATAAGAGGAATGTGATTACACTGGAGAGGGTACAGAGGAGATTTGCCAGGATGTTGAATGAGTGGAAAGTTTGAGTAATAAAGAGAGATTGCATACATGGGCATGATTTAGATTTGTAAAATTAGAAGGGACATGGACAGGACGGATGGGACAAAAAACCAAAAGAACTGCAGATGCTGCAAATCAGGAACAAAACCAGAAGTTGCCGGAAAAGCTCAGCAGGTCTGGCAGCATCTGTGAAGATAAAAAAAAATCAGAGTTAACGTTGCAGGTCCAGTGACCCTTCCTCAGAATGGGATGGGAAGAATTCTTTCCTCTTTACGGATGGATCAAAGACCAAAGACCAGAGGGCACAGATTTAAGGTAATGGGCAAAAGGTTTAGAGAGGATGTGAGGAAATCAATTTTCCCTGCAGATGGTGGTGGGAATCTGGAACTCACTGTAAGGTGGTGGAGACACGCAAGTGCTCGTAACATTGAAGTAGTACTTAGATCCACACTTACGATTCCATGGCATACAGAACTATGGGTCAAGTGCTGGAAAGCAGGATTAGAATAGTTATTCCGCCTTGGAAGCCTTCAACCCAATGGTCTCAATGTGGACTTTGCCAGCTTCAAAATCTCCCCACCGCTGACCTCATCCCAAGACCAGCGCCCCCTCAACCTGTCCGTCTTCTCTCCCACCTATCCGCTCCTCCCACCATCACCTACCTGCTAACACCATCCCTTCAGGTCTCTATTTATTTCACAGACCCCTTCCCTCTCCCCCCATTTCTGAAGAAGGCTCCAGACCCGAAACGTCAGCTTTCCTGCTCCTCTGCTGCCTAGCCTGCTGTGTTCCCTGACTCCAGCATCGGCAGTTCCTACTATCTCTTAGAATAGTTAAATCCTTGTTTTTGACCGGTGCCAACTCGATGACAGGTAGCATTTATGTGGTGAGACAGGCCTTCAAGGGAATAATACATATTCCGAGTTCTCATGAAAGGTCCCAGAAACGAAGTGTGTTTCTCTCCCTCTTCATAGGCTTTTATTTCTCCGAACTTCGTTGAACTTTTGACAATGTCAGAAAGCGCCTAAATGTTAATTGTTGGGGACGCTGAGGGTCATGCTGCCGCAAAGGCAGAGAGCTGGTGACAGATGCTTCTTCTCTCCGTTGGGCTGAAGCCCCTTACCTTTCACGAAGTCGTTTCGTTTCCGGAACCGGGCACTGCTGCTGACGGCGGCCCAGCCTGGCCCTCGGCTGGTTAAACAGGAGCAGCGGTTCAGAAAGCCCAGGGGCCAGCACGTGCTGACAACTCGGGGCAACATAACAGCAACTGCTGGAATTGCTGTCCGTGAGGCAGTGCGCGCAAGCGCAAAACGGATTGGGGAGGGGCGGGGCACGCACGGCCCAAGCGTCGTGTTTTGCCGTTAACTTACGTCATCACGCAGGAAACGGCGACTCGTCACGTGATATCGGGAACAGAACTGAAGTTGCTGGAAAAGCTCATCATCTGTGAAGAAAACGAAAATCAGAGTTAATATTTCGGGTCCGGTGACCGTCCCTTTTTCTTCACAGATGCTGCCAGACCTGCTGAGCGTTTCCAGCAACTTCTGGTTTTGTTCCTGATTTACAGCATCCGCATTTCTTTCGGTTTTATTTAGTAGTTACGTGATATCCTCTTGTTTCACCATTACAGCGGGAATTTAAAAAAAAAGACCTGAACTTACTGTAAGGGTGGTGCCTTTGCCCTTTCCATGTAGTCTATCAGTGCTTTCCCATATTGCTGTGTTAACTGCAGAGTTGTGAAGGCGCTGAACCCGCCCCACATTTCCCTCAGGTACACAAACAGGAGCCTGGAAGAACACAACAGGCCAGGCAGCATGTGGAGGAAAGGAGCAGTCAATATTTTAGGTATTACCCTTTTCTCTCCCTCAGTCATTTTCTTTGTTCGCATTCTGCATGAAATAATCTATGGAGGCCGATATTCTGTCACTAAGTCATCTGTTATTTACATACAGTCCACACTGACCCTAAGGGGTTGGATGCAGTGAAGTCACTTCCTCTGGGGAGGAAACTTGGAACGATGGATATAATCATAAAATTATGGATGGAGTATTTGGGAATAAAATCAGTTATGCATCACCTCAGACAAAATGACATAGATTGAAATTCTCTCTGTCATAGAAACCCCCAGAATGGAAGGAGGCCATTTGGTCATCAAATCCATACCATCCCATACAGCCCCAAACCCCTACCCCATCCCTATAACTCTGCTATTACCATGGCCAATCAACCTAACCTGCACACCTTTGGACGTAGAAGGAAACCAGAGCACCTGGTGGAAACCGATGCAGACATGTAGAGAATGTACAAACACCAAACAGACAGTCGCCTGAAGGTGGCATCAAACCCATCTTCCTCATGCTGTGAGGCAGCAGTGCTAACCACTAAGCTGCCATGCCACCTCTATTTTTGCCCATCAAGCGAGTCTTGCAAAATCATGGAATTGCTTCCTGGTCAACCTACCTCTGGGTGTTTAATTAGGATTTCACTCAGCCTGCCAATTTCTAATCAAAACACTGAGCCAATCTAGATGAATCTTTCTCAATCAATTTTGCCACATCAAGCTTGGGCCCGAACCTTCACTACAATCAATAGCAACTGAACCAGCTGCTGCATGTAAGAGACCAGAACCGAAGTTGTACATTTAATCTAAAGGTTCACTGGTCTAGGTTCTCAATCTATCTTGTGCAAAATTAAGGGTTGGAGTCCAGAGCCAATTTTGTTAAGGTCTAGGCCCGAAACGTCAGCCTCTCTGCTCCTATGATGCTGCTTGGCCTGCTGTGTTCATCCAGCCCTGCACCTTGTTGTCTCGGATTCTCCAGCATCTGCAGTTCCTACTATCTCCAATTTTGTTAAAGGCTGGTTTTACAATCACTGAAATGGCTGTGCCAGTATCAACTGCCATTAAAACCAGGTGACCATTTAACTAGTTGTTTATTTTGAATGGTTCTGTTTTGGGCATTGCTAAGCAATTTAACTGCTCCAAACCAGATGTACATGGACTTTTGAGGGTGTGCACTCTCCGAGATACCCACCAGTGAGATCTCTGACTCAATTTAGGTCTAGTGGGACTCTTGCTGTCTCAAGTCCACACACTGGCAGCAACTACAATGGCTTGCCAGCCCAGATCCTGAAGAACTTTGTAACTGTTTGGCCAAGGTTTGGCTTTGTTTTGGAGTTTTGCTTTGGACCTAGAAGCCCTCAGATCAGGAAATGTCCTGCATGAGGCTATGCAATTGCCTGCACTCAAGTGGTGTTCCCCAAGCTAAGTTGGACTGGCAAGGGTGTCCACTTCCATCAGAATACCCTGCAACTCATTTGGTCCACTTGCCACATTTTACATTGATAAAATCAGTTGTAGAGCCTGTTTGAAGTCCAGTTGCACTTCAGCTAGTAGGCATTTTTGCACGATTACATCATTAATCCCACATATCAAATGGTCTCTCAGCATCACACTTAGTGTTAAACCAAAGTCACATGCCTTTGCCAATCATCTTAACCTAATCAAAAACCCAATACAGATTCCCCAGTTCTCAAATTGCCAAGTAAAAATGATAGCACATCTCAGAATTAGTGGAGGCTTGGCATTGTAATATTCCTTTACTACATCAGTCAACCCTTGAAAGGTTTTAGTATCTGGTGCCTCAAAAAAGTTAGGCTCTTAATAGCCAAAAAAAGCTGCAGTCCACAAGCTGTCAGGAGAATTACTCACTGCTTTTCATCTGTCTCAAAGTCATTTGCCTGGAAAATAGTCTTTATGGCAGGATCAAACAGTCAAGCTTCCTAAATAAAGGCATGATGCCAGAAATGCTTACCTCATCTCAAAGATGACTGTTGCAAGTGAATATTTTCAGGAGCATACTTTTCTGCCACTGTCCCTGAAATTACTCCACAAAGGCCAGTATCCCCACCACAAAATCAGGCTTTATTTCACATGACATATCCTTGTCCTCGCTCCAGCTCTCAGAGTGAACAGTACGACTGTTCATATCTGTCAGCCAGGGCTCCCTGATTGGACCAGATTAACAGCCCCAATCAGGGAACTCCTATCCTATGAGGTCCACCTGGATGACGCTGTTACAACCTTTGGGATTCTTCTTTTCAAATCGGGACACAATGAACCAACATCTTTAAATCACATTGGGATTTTTTTTTCAGTGAAATCTGTAGATAAAGTGTGAACCTTGCACAGAAGAAAGTTCAAGCTTCATGTCAATACAGCCGGCAGCGCCGTGGTGACAGTCTCCAGGAAGTGACGCGTATCCCAGGACGTGACGCGCCGCGGAACTGACGTGTCCTCTCTCTCCACACGCACACATACACACCCTCCTCCGGTTTGTTCTGGATGGTTCTGAGGTCGCACGCGCCATGCTCGACTTCTTCACCATCCTCAGTAAGGGTGGCATCGTGCTCTGGTGTTTCCAGGGCGTCAGCAGCCCCTTCAGCGGCACCGTCAATGCGCTCATTCGGAGCGTCATCCTCCAGGTGAGGGCCTGGGGTACGGTACCTGGAGACGCTTAGGAGTGAGAGCAAGGCCACGGGGATGGAGAGAGGTGACTCAGGGCCGGACCGCGGAGGGGGAGAGAGTCCATAGCCTGGGAGGAAGAGAGAATCGATGGAAACCCCGAGCTCTGGCTGATTTCCCCTTCCCCCTTTCCCGACAACCATTTACCGACGGCCCCTGAACAAGTTAGGGAACGATCTAAAGCAGAGAGCAATGGAATTCCTTGCTTTAGGCCCACTCCATTGCGATCACTATTCTCCAGTTCAAAACTGTGTACTTGTTATCTCTAGAGATGACTAACTAGCGAGATTTAAAGTGTAACAGCTGTGACATTGATCCACAGCGATGGATCCTATATAAACAATGAGTTGAGCAACGTTTCCTCCAGTATCAGATTCCTATTGACTAAATAAACACAGATTTGTACTTTATCGATAGAGAGTAGTGATTGACCGCCCCACTGCATCAATAGTTGTTCACATTGAGCCTCAATCTTTTACTGGCACAAGATTCGAAGGGAGATATGTTTATGTAGCATGGAGACAATAAGGACTGCAGGTGCTGGAAGCCAGAGTCAATAGGTGTGAGACTGGAAAAGCACAGCAGGTCAGACAGCATCTGAGGAGCAGTAAAGTCAACATTTCGGGCCAAAACCCTACGTCAGTCCTGAAGAAGGGTTTTGGCCTAAAATGTTGACTTTACTGCTCCTCAGATGCTGTCTGACCTCCTGTGCTTTTCCAGCCTCACACCTATTTATATAACATATTTCACAAACTCAGCTTCCCAGAGCATGTTGCTTCAAGTTACGTATTGTTGAAGTGTGGTTGCTGTTGTCGTTTGCAGCATCCATTTTACAGACTGCCATGTTCTGCAAAAAAGAATGATAATACTCAGATCATTTGTTTTCATGGTATGGGCCAAATAATTAAATACTAGCCAAGTTAGGACTTGAACTTCCCCATTTTTTTTCAGGATAGTGCTATATGGGATATTTTATGCCCTGTTTTGAAAGTAAACGGGTCTCTGTTTATTAACGCAGTTGTCAACTTAGATTTTTGGACTCATATGTTTGGAGTAGAATGAAAACCTTGTAACATGGAGTGGAGAGTATTACTGATTGGCAAATAATTGGCAAATTACTATGGTTGGCAAATAAGCAAAATGAACTTTTCACAGCCCTAGTTTGGTTTAGTATTATGTAAATTATTGAATAGATAAATATGAAACAAGCATATGCCAAATCAAATTAATATTGCATGTGGCGTGATGCATTGGGAAGTGAGGTGATGCAACTGGTTTACTTCAGAATTGTGCCATTTGTGAGGTTTCAGTCAGGGAAAGATCTGTCTAATGTTTAAACAATATGCTGTCAGTGTTCCCAGCTTGGGCTAGATGTTTTAAATAAGTGGATTGTGAATTTTCTGAGCCTCTGAGATGCAGAACTGTAGTATCAAAATGACTTCTCACTCTTGTTCTTATTTATTTAGGACAATCCAGTTTGGGCATGTTGATTTAAAGATATCTGCTTTTATCTCAGATTTGCCCCACTTTCCTCATTGTTGCATCTAAAATCACATTGTATTTTGAGTGTCGTTATGTTGGATAATGGAAATTTTGACTGTTTACTCGTCGAGCTGGAAATGCATAGCAGATATTATTGAGGTGTGGTGTAGAGATACAGAAACGGCCACGTTTGTAATTCAGCATTAAATACAGTAACATGATTAATGTGATAGTTGCGATCATGCCAATGCAGAATTCCATATTCCCATTTGGATATAATTTGTCTCTAAATCTCTGTACAATATTAATTGTACTGCATTGTGGGCTTCAGGATGAGGATGAAAATTTTTTAGTCATTCTTTGCAGAATACATCATCTGTGATCGATCTGCGTCTGCATCAAACATAACTAGGAATAAGCCGTAAGGAGGCATACAATGACCTGGGGAGATCTGCATGATATTTCCCCCTTGCTCAGTGTGTAGTTTCTGGTCTCTCAGCATTGTGTGAAACAAAGAGACTGGTATCAGGATTTATAATCACACTAGGGAGTTGAATCCCTTGCTTGTTAGTCAGTCAACAGCTGAATTTGGAACGGATGATGTACCAAATGTTTGACAAGTCCTAATAGCTGTTCTGGTTGCTTCTGCAAATGGAACATTGAATGAATTGTCACATTGAGGTGGTTGTGAAATTGTAAAGTTGATCTTCAAAAAATTGGAAGTGTTTTTCTCTTCATTTGAATAGAATAAGTCAGTTCCTACACCATGGTGTTTATCTCGCTTCAGTTAGGGTAGAAGTGATACTATGTGATATTTTCTTCATTGTCTTTGTCTTTGATAGAAATCAAACCAGCTTCAGTGATCTCGATTGAGAAGTGTAAGAGTAAGGTGAATTCATCTGGTTATGGCTTTCCTTGTTATTGAATAGCTGAGTGATCACTCTGCCATGGCATTTGTAGAAGAGGTCCTTGTGATATCAAGAATTTCTTCCCAAGTGCCTCAGTCTTTGAGGAGAGTTTCGAGGAACGTGGGAGAAAAGGATGTGATCTTCAGGTGACAAGCTCAGAATGCGGAAAACATCATGTGAAGTACTTGACTAGTTTCATACTTAAGAACGGAAAATTAATCAAAAAGCCAGTCTGAATTGCTTTGGTGATTTACTGCCTCTACAATCAAATAGCTTATTGGCAGTTGTCACTTTGGTTCATGTTCTTGATTTGAGTTGCCAACTCATAACAGTTGGCAAAAAAAGACAAAATAACTGCAGAAACAAAAACAGAAATTGCTGGAAAAACTCAGCAGGTCAGACAGGATCTGTGGAGAGAAATCGGTTAACATTTAGTGTCTAGCTGTTCTGAAGAAAAGTCACTGGACCCAAAATGTTAACCCTGACTTCTCTCCACAGATGCTGCCAGACCTGAGTTTTTCAATATTAAAAGATAACATCAATTTGCAAACACTATGTTGCAGAAGCAAAACAAGTTATTAAATTAATAACTGGATTTATACGTTCTTTATAGTGCTGGTTGAGGGATGAATATTGACCAGAACACACAATCTTTTCAAACCAACTGAATGGAAGAAATTTGTAGCCAGGGAATCAACTGTGATGGCTTCTGTTTCCGTGTCTGTGCTAAACTATTCTTGGCTAACACCATCTACCTGGAGTTGGGTTGAATAAATTGGAATTGAAGATTGACAGAAGAAATAGTAGTTGAACAATGATCTACTCTCAAAGAATAGGTAGTTCACACACAATTAAGGTATATTCCCCCAAAGGGAAGATCAGGCAAACAAATCTAGAGGTCCCTGGATGACAGAATAGGTAAATATTTGATAAAGGGTAATGTGTGCTTAGGACATACGTTAGTTAGAAAATACACTTGAGAACTAGGCTGAAGCTGTAAGGTTCAGAAGGGTGATGAAATGCAAATAAGGGATGCCAAGAGGGAGTACTGAAAGAAACTTGCAATGGACAAGAAAGGGAATCCCAAAGTTTGCTGTGGACATGTAATAAGCAAAAGGGAAGCAGAAAAAGAAATACAGCTGATTAGGAGCCAAAAAGGGATTTACATATGGATGCAAAGGTCTTGACTGGAGTATTGGATGAATATTTGCATCTGCCCTTCCCAAGGAGGAAGATGCTACCAAGGCCTTAGTGAAAGAGGAGGAAATGTAGACACCAGAAGAGTTTAAAACTGGTAAGGTTGAGGTTGTGGATAGTCTATCTATACTTAAAGTTGACAAGTTTTACAAGAGTGCTGAAGCAAGTGAGGGTGGAAATTGAAGAGGCGTTGGCATTAATTTTTCAGTTTTCCTTAGACTCAGAGGTGCTGTCAGGGGACTATCCCATTGTTCAAAATATGACATAGTGATAAGCCTAGCAATTAGACCAGTCAGTTTAACATTGTTTGGGAAACTTGTAGACAACAATTTGGGGCAAAAACATGAACAATGTGGGTTAACTAAAGAGAGCCAACATGGATTTCATTTGGGAAAATAATGTTCAACTAACCTCCTGGAGGTTTCTGATGTGGTAACAGAGATCATCACAGAGCTATTGATGTGGTACACATGGACTTCCAGAAGGTGTTGATACAATGCCACTTGAGAAACTTTTGAGCAAAGTTAGAGACCATAGAACAAAAGGGACAGTGACAGCATGGATACAAAATTAGCTGAGTGACAAGAAAGAATAATGGTTAAATTGAGTGAGCAGTGACATAATGGTAATGTCACTGAATTAGTAATACAAAAAACCCAGACTAATGTTCTGGGGATATAGGTTTAAATCCCACCATAGCAGATAGTGAAATTCTAATTTATTAGAAATATGTAGATACTGTCAATTGTTGTTAAGTTCCATCTAGTTTATTGCCATTTAGGGAAGGAAATTGGCAATGCTTGTTTGGTCTACATGTGAATCCAGACCTTCAGCAATGTGCTTGCCTAAACCTCTAGGCAGTTGGGGATCAGCAATTAATCCTGGTCTAATTAGTAATGCCCATGAGCTATGAATGAAGTTTTAAAAAAATGTTTTTCAGGCTTGGGAATAATGGAATCGCCTGGGGCCAGTTTTTTTTTTGCATTTACTTCCAGATATGGGAACGTTGATTGCTTTTGCTGATAGTGTTTTAATTAGCTAGACATTGCACTTCAAGGCACGTTTTCGATGAATGAAAGAACTTCACAAGCATTGTAAAATGAGGAATATAGTTTAGGACTTCAAAAAGATAAAAATCTATATGTTGGTGGAGTGAGTACATTGGTGGCAGATGAGATTTAGTGTGAAGAAGTGAGAGGTAATAATTTTGGTAGGAAGAACATATAATGACAGTAGAAAATGAAGGCTGTTACTTCAAAGGCAGTGCAGGAGCAGAGGGTTTTTTTTGTGAATGCAGATTGTAGTAAACTTAAATGTAGCAGTGCAGGTTGAGAGAGCAGTAAATAAATCATAGAATATCCCTGGTTTTTTTA